GCAGCCCGTCGAGCCTCGGCTTGACGAGGCAGTTGAAGGCCTATTGCAATAGCCTCTCGGGTGCAGCGGGTGAGCGGCAGACTCGCGGGCTCGGCCAGGCCGGCCGGAAGCCTGGCACTGCTCCTTGGCCTCGCTCTCTCCGGCGTACTTGCCCCCACCTGCAGAAGGGCCCGCCGCCGCTGCCGACGCGCCCGCCGCCGAGCCCGAGGCTAGACTCGAGGCCGGGCCTATATACACATATGCCCAGAGCTGAGGCCGGCCCGGCGGGAGGAGGCCCCTTCCGCTCGGGAGGCGGCGCCTCGCTGCGCCTCGAACCTGGCCCTGTGAGCCGCTCGCACCGCCGCCAGCTGCTCGGCATACGTCTGGCCGTACGGGTCATCCGCTGCCGGTCGCTTGCGTCCCTGCGGCTGCCCTCGCGCCTGCCCTCCCACCTCGGGCACTCCTCGCTGCACGGCGGGCACGGGAGGGTCCGAAGCGGAAGGGAGAGCGGCAGCGGCTGCAGCGGCGGCGGCGACAGTTGTGGAGGGGGGGTGCGAGCCGCCGGTGGCGGCGGCTGCGGCGGCGGCGGCGGCGGCAGCTGCGGCTGCGGCTGCGGCGGCGGCGGCTGCAGCGGCGGCGGCGTGCTTGTCCTGGTGCGCCCTTCTCTCGGCCTCATACCGCTCCTTGTGCTCCCTCGCCTCCGCCTCCCGCGGAGCCTTTGCCTCTGCGTCCATCTCGCTCCACCTTGCGCCGGCGATGCGGCCGAGATCGGTCACCAGGCAGGGCGCTGCACGGTCACCACCGTTCATGTCATTGGCGATTGCGTCGGTGGTTGCGGCGGCGAGCCTCGCGCTGAAGGGTAACCTAGGTTCGTCGTCTCCTGAGTGCTCGGAAGCCGTCTCGTACTGACGATCATCGTCGAAGTAGCAAACGGCGTTCTCCGCGGCCGCGAGGGCGGAGGCTGGCGACATCATATGTACGTGCGACCTGCAGCCGGGAGGGTGCGCCCACCAGCCACTTGAGCGAGACCGCCAAGTCGTGGGGTCCAGACTCACACGAGACTCACACACGGCCGGCGCCAAGCGCGCGTAACCACCGAGCCACTCTCCGCCGCCGCTCCTCGCCACCAACCATGATGGTGCGCGCTCCGTTTACCCCCCTCCCCTCACTACGACCAGCCCTCTCACCCACCACGCCTCGTCGCCGCGCCTTTCTTTTGTGTGTGCGGCGGCGCCGACGCCCGAGTCCAGAAGCCCGCCAATGCTCGCTCGCCGCCCCGATCACACAATCTCTCCAGCGACGTTCTCCCTGCCCAGCGCTCCCGCCGCCGGCGCTGGCTCGTCAGCTCCCCCCCGACACGTGGAGACAAGCTCCCACCAAGCACTAGCTCAAGGCCGGCGCAGGTGACGGCGTGGAAGGATGAGCGAAGGTGAGGGACAAACCAGCGAGAGTGGTTTTTTGTCCCAACATCGACACCAATGGTCTGCAGCATGGTGACGCGGCCCTCAAAGGACAGATCGGAGTCGTGGCATTTGACGCCCTGCAGCGCGACAGAGGCGGAGGGGCGAGCGCGTGTGTGTGTGTATGTGTGTGTGTGCGTGTGTGTGCATGTGTGCGTTCGTGTGTGTGCAATGCAGTGAGGATGGTGGGTAGTGAGCGGTGCCGGCGCCTGTAGGATCAGCTTACTGATGATGATGCCAGCCCGACGGCGCTCACTAGCATACTGCGACTCGACAACCTCGTGATGGGAGCACCACTGATGAATCTGGGTCTGCACATGCTGTTTGACTCCAGCCTTAACAGAAAAGAAGGCACGCGCGGGCCCGAGAGTGGATCTGTTCCTGATGCCTTCAATGACGCCGACGCTTCTCGCGGTCCGAGCCTTCAGAGCCAGCGGCACATAGCTGGAGCTGGCATACCTGAAACAGCAGTTGCAAATGATGTCGCCATGCTGCTCATCAAATCGGAATCCCTCAAGCTGGCCAATGTCAAAGCAGTTCTTGCAGGCGTCAATCTTTGCAACAAAGGGTGCAGCACTTTGGCGTGTTGCGGCGGCGGCGGCCTTTTCCTCTTCGGAGAGATCAAATGCGCGAACAGCGGCGGCCGTCGCAGTCGCGACCTGCTTTGGAAGGTCAACGAGGACCGATTTCAGTCCCTCCACAATCGCGTCCACCGTAGCAGTAACGGCTCCACTGGCCACAGACTCGGCCTCTCCGAGCGCTGCACGCTCGAAAGGGTTGAGCTCAATCTGGGATGAGCCGTCTGGCCTCTGCCGCTTCGAGGAAGGTGGAGCACTCTGAGAGCGGCCCGGCGGCGAGTCGGGCGGAGGCAGGCGGGCGCGAGTCTCGAGCCAATCCTGGAGACCACCTGACGCGAAGATCGTATTCATCGTCGACTCGACATTGTACAGCTTCTCCTTGAACAAATCGAGTACCTCTTTGGGAGGGTCGTCGTCGCGTTGGATGCCGAGAACGGATTTGAGCGCGTCCACGTTGTGATGATACTGAGGAAACACCTCTCGCTGAGCGGCCATCACCAGGAGAAGGGTGCGCCACATGCGTTCGCCAAGTCGCCCGGCGACGCCAGTCTGCGCTGTCGCGAGCACTTCTCTAATCAAATCGGAAACGTTCGTACGTCGTTTTTTATGTTCCGTTCGTTCGTTCGCGAGAAGGATACCGGTGAGGAAGAAATCTTTTTCTGTGCGCGTTGCCGCCTCCTTCTAGGCCACGATGGTCGCTCCAGCACAAATGCTGGGTAGCTCCATCCAGACGACCCCGGCCGCCATGAAGCAGGCGGTGCTCGACGCAGCCACTGGTGGCATGTCGCCGACATCGAAGGCAAAGTTCATCAAGTACAACTGCAGCGATTGCGGCGGCGACCTCATGGCTGGCGACGGCCCTGGCACTGACGTTACCGGCGCGTGGCGCAAAATGTCACACAACAAGCACTGGACGAAGCAGCAGCTCGCCGAAGCGAGAGCCACATGGGTGCGGCCGAATGACAAGAAGACAGTCGTCACGGTGTGCACCGGAAGCAGGTGCCGCAAACCACTTCTCCCGACAGCGGAGCAGCTCGAGCGGATGCAAGAGTACAGTCTGACGATCAAGCAGGAGAGCGACGTGCGCGCGGCTGCGGCACGGCTCCCAGGCGACTTTGTCGATGCCGGCGACATCTTAGATCTGCTCAGGATGGGCATGTAGCGCCCAGAGACACGCGCGGAGCGCGCCGCTGCAGAACACGCGCGGAGCGCGCCGCTGCATGGGTAGGCGCGGAGCGCCGCCACTCGAGATTGGGCCTGTGGGTGGGCCGAGTGGTTCCAGCGTGTGAGTCAAACTCTTAATAGAAATCGCATCTAGCCCTCCACAATCCTCAAAATTTTCTTCGGGGCGCGCTCCGCGCGCGGCGCTCCGCGCCTACTCCTTGAGCGTCATAAGCACTGGTTCGCACATGTTCTGCAGCTTGGTACCGCCTTACCGCCGACCCTTACCGTGCCGCGCTGCCTTTACACACACATCTGACTTCTTGCTCGACCGAGTTTGCGTTGAAGAGCGAACCGAGCCGCCGGTGGTGTGTCCCGCAGCGGCCTCGCTGGGCCAGAAAATCGGCCCGCGAGTGCTCCGCAGCAGCCTCGCTGGGCCAGAACATCGGCCCGCGAGGTGGATGCTAGCATGAGCCCGACTTCCCGTGACGAAAAACGAACACACACCAAGCGCTAAGCGTGAGGACACGAGTTCGAATTCGTAGGAGCATCTGAGCAAAATTGAGCCCGCTCAGGTGTGAACAAAAAATATGAGGGTCGACCAGGTTTCGAACTGGGGACCTCCCGCCAGCGGGAAGGCTTCCAGCAAGATACGCTGGGATTGAAGAGAAGGTCTCTGTTCGGGAAACCTATATAGCATACCGAGAGGGAATTAGACCACCACAGATGTGTGCGCCCGAAGTGCCAAGAAGGACGTCATTAGTACGAAACCTCAGAAGGCCATGGGCGCCGAGAGAACATTCCCCCGAGAGGACAAAAAGAAAAGAAAAGGCTTCGCACCCCCTCCTTGCGCAGTGTCCCTCGCTAAGTGTCGCCGTTATCGGGGCACGCTATCCTGCGCAGGCAGGGCAAGCGGGGGCGAGGCGCAGTCCCTCTGGTCTGATACTGGTGTGGTTCTGTCCCCTGTCTCGGAGGGGGGGGCAAAAAGATAAGAATATCTATTTTTTTAGCATGAGCCCGATCTGTCGCAGTGCTCTTGCGTTACGGCGGTAGTGATCTAATCACCCGAATGCCACGTTCGGATCGCTTCTCATCGCAAACCCTGTCAGCAGTTCACCCTCGGGTACGTACGTCTCCCCTCGGGTACGTACTTTTAGCTTACTGGGAGAAAAGGGAGAGCCAGGCGCGATTTCTAGGCCCTTGGGGGGCCTACCACTCAGCGCAGTCGGAGAAGCCGGTGAACGAATCTTCGGAGAGGATGGGGCAGTCATCTCTCTCTCTCTCGGGTACGTATTAGCTTACTGGGAGAAAAGGGAGAGGGGGTTGTGTTCTCTAGGCCCCTAAGGGCCCTACGCGCGGCGTGAGAGCTCGGAAGCGAGCTTTGCACGGCGATCGAGGATGGCGCGGTTCACCCCCTTCACCGAAGCGATGGAGATGCGTTCTGCGTGGTGTGACACAAATGAGAGGCGGGAGTGGGGAGGGTACGCGGTGCGGTCAACGCCCGAGCGTTGAGCCTTGCGCGCAAGGCGGTTGATCTTTGCAACTGCAGGCGGCGAGAAGCCGCCGCCGAATGTCTCGTGGAGAAGCAGGTTGAACTTGTTTCGTTTGGTGAAGATCCCATCATGGTAGTGGCCACGCTGTGACTTGACGTAGCCTTGGCCGGTGGTGTGGTCGAACGCCCGTTGACCACGGAACCCGCGTTGCTTGCAGCCCATGTTTGCAAGGCGGGCGCGCTCTTCGGTGTTGCCGAAGGCGAACTTGTCTCCAACGGAGCCGGGGTTGCCTCCGGTGTCGGCGCGGCCGACCCCAACGGGCAAGCCACCCCGGTGCCCGGAGGGGGGTCCAAAGTTTGACCTCGCTGATTTCGTCTTTGCCCCCGGGGCGTCCTTGTACCCGCATGACACCATCACACCTCACACCATCACACCATCACACCCCCACACCTCCATCACACCATCACACCATCCACACCATCACACCCCCATCACACCAACACACACCCATCACACCATCACACCTCCATCACACCATCACACCTCCATCACACCTCCATCACACCATCACACCATCACATCCCCATCACACCCTCACACCATCACACCCCCATCACACCATCACACCCCCATCACAGACTGGCTGAAATGAGGATGAGGCCTTCTCCAAAGGCTTGCTGTCTCCACCCTCGCCACTCACGCCCGCTCTTTGCTAGAGCGGGAGCTGGAAGCGGTAGGCCGTGGTTGGATAGAAGGGGTCCTCGCCTGGCAGCCGTTGGAGCCCGTTGTACAAGTACACGAAGCCGCCGAGCACAAAGGAAGCGGGCGCCCAGCGCGAGGCGCCTACCGCGAGTGTCAAGACGAGTATGTCGAACACCCACGCAAAGGAGAATCAAGAGTAAGTAAAGGCCGCGGGCGCGCGCAGGGCGGGAGGCGCTAGAAGTAAACGCCAACGCGCAACGGCGCGCGCGGGCCGGGAGGCGCCTGGGTGGGAAGGGAGCTGCTCCCACGAGTCGGTGCCCGCGTTGTACCGCCAGAACTCGCCCTGCACCATCGAGCGGTGGTCCTGCCCGTCGCCGGAGAGGACGTAGCCGCTGCCGCCCGCGCTGAACTGCGTGCCCGCTACGCGGCCCTCAGCGCCGGAGGGCAGCGAGGCCCGCAGCGTCACCTGCCGCTCCCAACTGTCCGTGCCAGCGTTGAGCGTCCAGCGGAACAAATCGCGGTAGATCCCGTTGCCGTGACCGCCGAACACGTGCGGTTGCCCCGCGGCGAGGAACTGGTAGGGATGGTGACGCGCCATGCCGGGCAGGTCGGGCAGCTGCTCCCACTCGTCCCGCGCAATGTCGTACGCCCACGCGCTCTTCAAGTTTCCGCCATAGCTAGAGCCCGCCGCCACAAAGACCTTCGTCTGCAGCGCGACGAACGCGGGGTGGAATCGCTCGCACCCCGGTGGGCAGGAGGCAAGCTGCGTCCACGAGGTGCCGTCGTATCGCCACAGGTCGCGAAAGATGACCGTCGCCGATCTGCCAAATCCAAAGTAGACCGACGCGAGCGAGGGATGAACGTCGCCGATCGCGTAGCTGCGCGCGCCGCCAGGGAAGGGGCCGAGAGCGCTCCACTGACCCGAGGCGGGATCATACCTGTGAGGGAGGGTGTGATGTTGAGGGCTGCCCCCGCGGGCTGCAGGAGAGGTGGGGAGGTGGGCGGAAATGTGTGTGCGCAAGGTCGCACCGCTCGAAGGCGTCGGTGTATGTCGTGGCGTAGGCGTTGCTGCCGCCGTACTTGGATCCCGTCACCAAGTGGCCGTAGCCGCCGAGTGCGAACCCAAACGTGTGGTGGGTCTGCCGAAGGGCTGCTGGTGCAACTCCGATCAGCTCCCATGTTGGCGGCGGCGGACTCGGCGAAGGCGGCGGCGGCGGCGGACGTGTCGAACGCGGTGGTGTCGGCGAGCTGGACAAACGCGGCTGCGGGCTGAGCGAAGGCGGCGGCGTCTGCAGGCTGGACAAAGGCAGTGGCGTCCGCGGTCTGGGCAAAGGCGGTGGCATGATG